TTCCCCTTAATCTCTCATACCCTTCCCTCTTCACTCATCTCCCACCATCTTTTTATCTCCTCTCTCTCCACTCACCTTCTTTTACCAATCTCTCACTTTTTTCTTCACCTTTTCCATAACTTTCTCTCTCATTCTCTCACCCTCCTCTCCTCCTTTCTTCCCCCAACTACAACCCCATCATCTCCCTCACCTACCACTTCAATCTTTTCTCTTTCCCACCTATTTTTCTCTTTTTTTAATCAATTTTTTATCCCCCCCCCTTCGATTTTTTCTGTTTTTCTTCTTTTCTCTTTCTTTTTGATTTAAATTTTCTCCGTTCCTCCAAAAATTTGAATTATCTTCTTCCTTACTTCTTTTCTCATCTTCCTGATTTATTTTATTTTTCTTTATTTATTTTAAAAATTCATTTTTTTTTGCGGCACCCTAAAATTTGATTAGGACTTAGCCATTTTTGCTTTCGGCACACATTTTGACCCCGTGGGGGTAACGAAGTGCTGCCGAAATTTGTGAAAAATCCAAAACTTTGTTAGTGTCTCTTCACTCTCCTCCACCTCCTTATTTATTTATCTATTTATTTATTTATTTACTTATTTTTCTGAAAATTTTAATTTGCGACATTGTAAAAATTAGTGTGCTTCTCTTAGTCTCTCCTTTCTCTTTGCACATTTTGACCCCGTTCGGGTAAGAAAATGCTGCCGAAATTTTCAAAAAAATAAATAAGTCCTCTTCCCTCGCTCTTTACATTTTATTTATTTATTTATTTTTATTTATTCTTTTATTTTATTTTTATCTTGAAATTTTATTGTTTATTCTATTTTCTTTCCCCCTCCCCTCCATATCATTTTTTTTTTTTATTAGGTCGCCGCTACCCTCCCCTAACCACCTAAACTCCGGTTAGGGTTTTCTTAGGGTTTTCTAGGGTTTAGGGTTCTCCTAACTCCCGCCCCCCTTCCTACTCTCCCGCCGGGCACCCTGGACCTGGACGGCTCCTCCCCCCTCGAGCGGTTCGGCGGCTTCGTCTCACGCGCGACCCGCAAAATCCGAGGCAAGCCGACTCACACATACTCACTCCGCTCCCGCGGTCCCCTTCCTCTTACCGGTGGGCCCCTTTCCCCACACACTTTTCTAAGGACTACCTCCATTCCCCTTCCGGCCATGGAAGGGAGTTCATCCGAGGCGATCGCCACGGCGCAGTCCACACCCCAGGTCAGCGCGCCGTCAGCGGCTCATGATCAGGCCCATGCGGACACGATGGACCTTCATGCCGTCCTTATAGCAATCCAGGCACAACTTAGTACGCTTGGACCGTTGCAAGCGCAAATCAATGCGCTAGCTCTTGACGTCAACCGCCTCAAGGGCTCCCCTCATCGCTCTCTCCACCGCTCTCACACCCCTTCCCCTACCGGCTCCGATTTCGGCTCCCCAGGACTCCAGAGACGGAGTCACCATGGTTCCCCCTCCTCTGCGGGCCAGGCCCAGCACTCCCCCTCAACGGTGGCGAGTGTTGCTGCCGCTCAGACCACCCCGTCCGTTGCGGCAGTTCTTTCGGCCACGGCCGCCCCTACCATTTCTACTACTGTCGTAGGTGCTGCGGTCCAAGTACAGCCATTTGGCCGCGCAGTTTCATCGACCTACCCCGGTGTTGCTTCCCAGCTTCCCGCACCGGTCGCGGCAATACGGCTCCGCCCTCTTCTTCCTGCCTTCGTCCCCCCACCCCCACAACAGGGTACCGCCCAGACTGGGATTCCTCCTYCTACTGGGCGACCCGCTCCGCCCCCTCCACCTCCGACCCCGCGCACCCAGCGAGTGGCCACTTTACAGGCCACCATTGCGCAGGCTCAGGCGGAGATTCTCGCTCTGAGACAGCCTCACCCATCAYAGGCTGCCCACCCTTYTTCCTCTACCACCCCTTCGGTCCCCATGATGCAGGCTCGTTTCCCTCGACCTGCTCCTCAGCCTCTTCCCTCCTACGTGGCTATTCCGTGACAGCTGCCCGCGGCCGTTGCCTCCTCGTCTACGGGTCCATCCGCCAGCGGCCACGGCCCACAGCCTTCCCCCACCTCTGCCCCTGCAGCGGCCTCGACTTACGCTGCCGCCGTGCATTCGCCTCGATCTCTCTCCCCCCGCCATCAGCACAGTGGACATCCTCCTGTGCGCACCACGGACGTTCCCGAGTATGATGGCACATCCCGTGTCTCTCGCTGGTTGCAGATAGCAACGCGCATGCTCTCTATGACGACCACCCGTCAGGAGTTGTGGTGCGATGTTCTCGCAACCAAATTGCGAGGTAGCCCTTCCACTGCGTGGGAGGATCATTATACCCAGCGCCTCTGCGTAGGTGAGGTCCCCACTTTGGCCGACTTCGCGGCCTTCCTTCAGGACCGTTTCGGCGCTCGTCATGACGCCACCGACGCCTTAGACCGTGTCACCCAGACCAGATGGTCCGGGTCCTCTGTACAGGCCGACCTGGAGCGTCACATCCGGGTGTTCCAGGACGCTCGCCTTGTTTGTGACGAGACGTTCCTACCGGAGGTCACACTCACCGACCGGTTCCTTGTCAGCCTGCCGACTGACTACCGCCTAGATCTATGGAGGCGATCATTCTCTTCCGCGGAGCAGGCATATGAGGTTGCGCGTCAGTACCAGAGGATGTGCAGTCGCTTCTTCGTCCCCCCATCCTCTTCGCGGCCAGCCGCCACCTCCCAGTCTCGGGGTACCACCCGAGGCCGCTCCTCGTTTGCCGGTCGTTTTCGTCGCCCGGCTCGACCTGGAGTGCCATTCGCTCGGCACTACAGTTCTCTCGAGTATGGAGAGGACGCCTCAGCCGAGATCGATCCTACCATTGGGGACGCCCCCGAGGACATCGAGCTTCGGGACGTCATCCAGTACCACTTGGATGACGACACTGTCCCAATGGCCGAGCTCCTGCAGATGGCCATGTCTGCCATGGGTCGTGCACGCATTCTGGTTGCACAGGCTGGCGCCCGCACACCCACAGTTCCTCAGATAGACCTCCCGCAGGGTTTTGTCCCTCCTCGTGGAGCTCTATCCCCCGAGGAGCGTGCCGCCCTCGAGGCCCGACGAGGCTGCCTTCGTTGCCGCCAGGATGGACACACCTCCTCACGGTGTCCATACCACACCGCCCTCGATCGGTACTACGCTGACATTTCTCGTCAGCGCCGATNGGATGGACACACCTCCTCACGGTGTCCATACCACACCGCCCTCGATCGGTACTACGCTGACATTTCTCGTCAGCGCCGATCTCAGTCCCCCCCCGACCCCGCCCGGCCAGCCCCACCCAGCTAGCCACGGTGCAGTGTACCCCTGAGGCCTCGAACGTAGCCGGCTTCCCGACCACCGAGTCGCGGTTCGCCCCTTTGGCTACCCCACTAGAGGACCCTCAGGATACGACAGATGCAGTTCTCTCTGCCCCGTCGGCTGTCGAGGTACTGTCTGCCTCCCCGCAGACCGCCACATCTAGCGCTTCTCCCCCGAGACTTCCGACGCGTCGCGCCATTCGCACAACCCGTTGTAGCACTCAGCTGGCGACTCGCAATGACGTTGTGTCATCTCTCCTRGACTTGAGCATTCTGCAGGCTCGTAAGGAGCGACTCACGAGGCACGTCAACGTCCTGCGTCATCTTCTCGCTCTGCTCTCTAACCCTGATCGCACCCTACCCATCATCCCTATTCGCCTAGGGACATCTACGAGGGTGAGTTGTGCTTTATGGGACTCTGGCTCGCAGGGAGATTTCGTTCACTCTCGAGTGGTTGAGGAAGCTCGCCTAGCTACCTCTGGGTCTCGCTCTCCTATCTCCGTTACCCTCAGAGATAACAAGACGCAACGCTTCTTCTATCAGACGGTCCCCGACCTCCACTTCTCCCTCACCCTCCAGCCATCGGATAGTACCCAGACGCCTAGGCGCTACCATTCCTCCGCATATTTCGACGTGCTGGAGACTGGGTACGACTTTATCCTTGACACTCCCTGGTCTCGCCGGCTCCACAGCACAGAGGCCGAATGGGCGACCGAGACTCTCATTCTCCAAACGAAGTGTGGTCAGACCCATCGCGTCCCGTTCATTGGAACCACGGGCGACACCCCACCCGACCTACTTCCCCCGGACCCTCGTCCCTCTGGGTCCCACCCCAACATCGCGTTCACTTACCCTCGTTAGTTTGCTCACTTCATACGACAGGAGGACGTCACATTCTACTCAGTGAACGTCATGGATCTTCTTCGGTACGATCCACTTTGTCCCGAGGTTGAGCTCATCTCTCTGGAGCCCGATCCCCCTGACCCTCCTTCCATCTTCGCGGCTCCCATCTCTACATCCACTCGTCAGCCTGCGGATACCCCCTCCATGTCTCAGGCCCCTGCGCCGTCGACAGTCGAGTCCACACATACGTCTCGTGCTGACGCAGATGCCGAGGAACTCACACGGTTCACGGCAGACTTAGAGTCGGCCGTTCGCGACTTGATTCAAGAGTACCGCGACGTCTTTCCCCCGTATTTCTCATACAGCGGGATTCCCCCGATGCGCGCTGTTGAGCATTCTATCTTAGCTCGTGCCTGACTATAGTGTTCACCATCAGGCACCGTACTGACTCTCGATCCCAGAGGTGACGGAACTCAAGCGTCAGCTTGAGGAGCTCCTTCGACTGGGTTTCATTAAACCTAGTAACTCCCCTTGGGGTGCACCTGTCCTCTTTGCTCGCAAAGCGCACGGAACTCTCCGCCTCTGCATCGACTATCGCGGCCTTAACCGTTACACGGTTAAGAACAGTTATCCCATGCCTCGCGCGGATGAGTTGTTTGACCGTCTGGCAGGCAACGGCTTCTTCACGAAGATGGATCTTCGTAGCGGTTACCACCAGATCCGCGTTGCCACAGAGGATCAACCGAAAACCGCCTTCCGATCGCGCTTTGGCCACTGAGTTCACGGTGATGCCATTCGGCCTCACCAATGCACCCGCCACCTTCCAGACGGCGATGAACGACAACTTCAGGGACATCCTTGAAGAATACGTTCTTGTATACCTGGACGACACCCTGGTCTACAGTCGTACCTTAGAAGACCATCTCAGACACCTCCGCGATGTCCTACAGCGCTTATGCAAGCATGGCTTCTATGCCAAGCTCAGTAAGTGCCGCTTTGCCCAGTGCAAAGTGGACTTCCTAGGACACCATGTGTCTGACCAGGGTCTCCACATGGACGACGCGAAGATCACCGTTATTGCAGTGCTATTGCAGAGTGGCCCGTCCCCACATCTACCAAGCAGCTTCGCAGTTTCCTAGGCCTCACCAGCTACTATAACAATTTTATTCAGGGATACGCTAGGTATTCCTACGTCCTTMCCTCTMCCCTCCTCCGGAAGAACCCGCCGTGGTTTTGGACACCCCTGTGCGAGGACGCCTTTCGCGCCCTCAAGAAGGCGGTGACCTGTGCGCTGGTTCTTCGCCTTCCCGATTTTGATCGTCCCTTTATCGTCACCACCGATGCGTCAGATTTTGCAGTAGGAGCTGTCCTTTCTCAGGTGTTTCCCTCTCCTCCAGATTCACCTTACCCCCATGTTCCTCCTTCCCCCCCCCCTCCTGCTGACACTGCTTCTCCACTGACGCCTACCCTCCCACCACTTCCCTCCACTGACAGTCCTCCTGTTACTTACTCCCCGACCATCACGGAGGATGGGACTGTCGAGGCTCGTGCTGGGGATTGCCCGATCGCTTTCTACTCCCGTCAGCTACTGCCTGCCGAGATAAACTACACTGCCGATGAACGTGAGGTTCTCGTAGTAGTTTATGCTACCCGGCATTGGCGTCATTGTCTGCACGGGGCGCCCTTCACGGTGCGCACGGACAACTCAGTTGTCCAGACTTTCCTCACGAAGCCTAAGCTTTCCCCTCGACAGGCACGCTGATGGCGTGACTTATCCGAGTTCAGTTTCACCACTCAGCCCATTAAGGGTGAAACGAACCGCGTCGCCGATGCCTTGTCCCACCGTCCTGATCACAATCAGGAACCCATCCAGCTTGCTGCTATCTCCATCACCATTGTTGATCAGTCGGTGATCGATGCGTATCACACTCAGTACCGCCACTGCCCTGATTATCGCGTCATCCGCGCAACACTGCGGAGTGGCAAGACCGTTCCTTCCTACTCCCTCGGGGAGAACGGCCTCGTGTACTGGCATGGCAGATCTGGTCAGCTAGAACCACGTATCTGCGTTCCCTCCACCGGGCAGCTCCGCGTCCAGGCTGTAGCAGAGTTCCATGACCAGGCAGCTGCCGGTCATATGGGTTTCCACAAGACGTTGGCTCGTGTTTGCCGCCTATACGTCTGGCCGAAGTCCAAGGACTTTGTCAAAGCCTACATCCAGGAGTGTCCTACCTGCCAGGAGGTGAACAGTGCGAACGACCTTCCGTATGGGTTACTTAAGCCCCTACCCATACCTGAGGGTCGTTGGCAGTCCATCTCGATGGATTTCATTGGTCCCCTCCGCCCACCCACTGAGCGCGGTCATGATGCTATCTTGGTCGTCGTCGATCGCTTCACGAAGCGTGCACGTTTTGTCCCGTGCCACTATCGCATTAGCGCTCGTGAGGTCGCCGACATCGTCTTCGACCGAGTCGTGAGAGATCACGGCTTACCTCAGAGCATCATCTCCGACCGTGACCCGTGCTTTACCAGCACATTCTGGCGACGCCTACACGAGGTATACGGATCCCAGCTCCGCTTCTCATCGTCTTACCACCCTCAGACGGATGGTCAAACTGAGGTCACCAACAAAACTCTTGGTAATATCCTCCGAAAGTTTGTTAAGGATGACCAGCAGTGAGACTTACACTTAGCCCACGCGGAGATTGCGTACGACCACGCTGTTTCGCCATCCACGGGGATGTCGCCATTCTATTGCGACCTCTGCTACCACCCTCGCGTACCCGCGGATTTCCTACGACCATTGCGGTTACGCCCAGATACTCGTTGCCCTGCGCTTGACAACTGGATCGCCCACATGGCGGCGATTATGAATCGCGCACACGAGAGTTTAGCTGACTCCCAGACTCGCATGGCCACACGAGCGAACCGATCACGAATGGATCATCCATTCAAAGTCGGTGACGATGTGCTCATCGACGCATGCCACTTACAGCTCGAAGCAGATACGCTTCGCAAGTTCAGGCGTCGTTTCTTCGATCCATGCCGCATCCTTCAGGTCGTCGGTTCTGATACTGCCGCTAGTCCGGTCAGCTTCCGTGTGAAGCTACCTGATTACCTTCGACAGACTCGCGTACACAATGTTTACCACGTCTCCTTGTTGCGTCCTTATCGCAGACCGTCTGAGCGCTTCGCCGGATGCCCTTATGAGCGTCCTCCACCTATCATGGTGGACGGTCACGAGGAGTTCGTTGTTTCCGACATCGTATCACGCCGAGTTACCGACGATACCCCTCCACGCATCGAGTACCTTGTGCGTTGGAAGGGCTACCCTGATGAGGAGGCTACTTGGGAGCCCCTCGAGCACTTGCAGCACGCCAAGATGTTGGTGCGTGCATATGATCGTGCTCGTCATGTTGAGACATCTGCTTCTACTCAGCCGACTGACCCTCTTCCTCCACCTCCGGCTGAGGAGATTGCTGAGGACGTGCCCGCTCCCTTTGAGGTCGTTCGTCATCCGCAGACGGTCGCCTCCGAGCGTCCACAGCGCACTCATCGTCGCCCTTCGCGTTACGATGACTGACACTCTTATCCTCTATCTTTCCCCACTGACTCACACCATCAGGTACTCCATCATCATCTCTTCTTCAGGATGTCAGCGTTTTGCGGCTTTGCTTCGACATCGATTCCACAGCAACTTCATCGACGTCATCGACCACTTCGACGACTTCAGCTACTTTGGACGTGACTACTTCACGTCACCACCCTACCCTGCATACTCCCTTGCCTCTGTCGCATGATGGTTCTCACTTAGCTCAGTAGCTGGGTCTCTTTGAGTTTGGCTCTCCCTTGGTATCGCATAGGCATTGGGACCGTAGCGTTATCTTGGCTTCCTTGCTCCCAGATCTAGCTCCCTCTCCTAGTCGGTGAGTTGTGTGCATGTCTCCCTCACCTACTGCCCTCATCACCCTAGTGTCGGCCCTTGCATGCCTTCAGTTAGACATATCTCCACCCTATTCCAGGCTCCCCCTTTTTTCATGGTCGACCCTGCATGGTGTCATCCTTTTGTCGAGCATTACCCGCCCTGATGGTCTATCTGTTATGGTCTTTGGTTTTGTTTCGCTACCACTCTCCCACCTTGAGCCTGACGACCTATCCCACCTTCACGTGTGACTGCTCTTAGGAGTTTCGATTCTTAGGTTGCATTCACCCCCTCTGAGACCATCCCACCCTTAGTGGTTCAGCGACAAGACATTATCTTGTGCCATATTGCTCTTTTTCCTTTCAGCACTGAGGCAATTGCCTCCAGGACTTTAGGATTGTATATTGCTAAATTTCACTTTTTGCTATTAGCTAGGATATGGATACCAGATATTTGCTTTTCTTTTGACATTATGTAGCTTAGGATGCATCGCATGGACTCCGCATGGAGCTTGCTCCGCATCCTAGATTTCTCAGCTTTCTTTATTGCAGAGTTCCGCTGCTTTTGCGGATAGCGTGTTTATGGCTCTTGCGATCCATTACAGGTCTGAGGATCGTGGAGCGGGCCTTCATCTGCCCTGGCCTATGGCCAGCGCTTATTTGGCTATTTGCCAGTTCGGCCTGTGGGACCAGGTCGTGGCCTGACCCCACAGGCCGTGTGATGTTCCAGTCTGCTCGGTACCACTGTCGGTACCAGGCCAGTCCAGTCAGTCAGTCCGCTGGGGGTATACCCCAGYTGTAGTCTGTTTTTGATTTTCTTCATTTGCACAGATTGGAGTACGTGGTTGTTGAATCTGCGTTGGAGCTGCGCTGTCCCTTCCAGCGCCATCTCCATCTCCCCCATCCTCATCCCTTCGTCTTGATCCTGACTCCCTCCCTCTCTCTCTCTCTCTCATATTTGCTCGCTGAGGTTGCTCAAGCTCAAGCGCCTCAACATGAAACCTCCTCCCGCGTGCACAGTATATATGGCGAAGAGAGGGAGTAACGGACCTAGGAGGGCGCGCACAAGGGGGAGAGAGAGAGAGAGAGAGAGAGAGAGAGAGAGAGAGAGAGAGAGCATCTCTCGTACCTGCATCGAGGCGCCACCTTTGTAAATGTCAGTATCTGGTACACACACACACAAAGAGAGAGAGAGAGAGAGAGAGAGAGAGAGAGAGAGAGAGAGAGAGAGAGAGAGAGAGAGAGAGAGAGAGAGAGAG